TCCAGATTTTTGGAAAAAAAAATCAAAAATATCAAAATATATTATTAATTATTTTAAGAATTTAAGCAGTGAAATCAGGAAGCATTTTCCAATAAAACTCTACATTTTGTTTTTGAACTGACGTCATCAATTTTTCGGAGAGAGTAAATAAATAAATTTAAGGCAATAAATAATTAATGAATGTCCTATAATCGCCCAATTGTTGTTTTCAATGTGTAACTAAAATTTTTAAAAATTTAATTCTGTAATCTCGCAAATTATAAACATGTGGAATATTGAACCTTGCGTTATAGACGTGTGTATGGTATTATATTTCAAGTAGTAATTAAGAAACAATATTTTGAATATGTAACCAGTAGGGATGTACCGACTAGTGGCCGACCGGTCGGATAAGCCGACTATTCGGCCGTTTTTCATCGTCGACTGGCAGTCGGCGACTGGTCGGCTAAACAGCCGATTGGTCGGCTTTTTTTATTAAAATTAAAATAGTATATAATACAATTAAACCCGGTTTACAGAACCTCAATTAAATATGTAATTGCGATTTAATTTTTAACACGGCGTTAAAGTACCATGTGACCGACTCTACGCCAATCAGAAGTCGCTAATGGCCTTGTTAAACGCGTGGTCAACTTAATCTCAGTTAAAATATCGTATAAACGGGCCTTAAATTCTGTTATTCTTTATTTTTGTACTGAGTTAGTACAAAAAAAATAAATGTTAAAATTATCCAAACAAATGTAACACATTTTTTGGAAAACAAAGGAACTTTTATTAAAATAAAACAAATTTTTAAGGTAGTCAGAGAAATAGAAAAAAAAACACACTGTCTGTGGCATTTATAAACCGGTTTTAGCAAAGCCGAACAGTCGGCCGACTAGTCGGTTTTTACTGGCCGAACAATCGGCTAGTCGGTTAGTCGGCCAGACCTAGAGTCGGTACATCCCTAGTAACCAGTTTTTTGGTCAACAGTTGATTAGTTACGGACAGACGACAGAGACAAAAACGAGAAACCTAAATTTTCGTATTTTCGACGTGCGAAACGCAGATAAAAAAAATGTGAAGATGACCGTGTTACAATGTTTACCTTGTGCTGGCACGGGAAATAGAAAAAAACTAGAAACACTGATACGATCAGACCTTCGACGGTTAACCAATGTAATAACAGACCAGACACAAAATATGGATAAATCATCCGCTTTTTAACTTCAGAATCCGCCTGATAATGAAAAAGCTTAACGAAACATTGAGTAATGGCACATCTGTTTAATTATCCCTCTCGAAATCAATCGTGAATTAGAATTGCAGCCCAGAAATTCTGCCAAAGCACACTTTAAAGTCGCATTTGCACAAGTTTCATGTTTGTTGACGATCTACTTGATGAGAAATAACGAATCGTCGATTCCGATTTCACATTTAAAATTTTTTTCACCGCATCATTGTGTACGCCAATCATCTGAAGAATAGTTCTAAAGATTTGTGACTTCCCGGACAAGTTTGACAAATGCCAGACGCTCATAATCGTGGCTGCAGAAAGGTGTTTATTTGTACGTTGTAGTAAAAGGAACCTCAGATCTTTCGAAAAAAAAACTCTGTAATGAGTCAGTCGTTTATCCAGCTATACCTTCTCACTAATTCGACATTACGAAGACAATGTAGAAGCAATTTCGAAACGGTTAGCGCACATATTGGAGCAATTCGGCAATAATTAACATTCCAAGTGTGAACGTGCCGCTGGGTTTGGGGTTTTCAATGGCGAAGAAATTACAGGGTAGGCCTCATGTTGTAACGAATTCGATTCGAGACCGGCCTGGAAATGTAATGGGGAAATCATGCTCCAGCTATGAGGTCTCGCCCCTCACCCATAACTCTCTAGTCGTAGACGGTAGCGCCAACTGCCGCGGGGCAATAATGTCGTAAGAAACAACCCCATAAAGCAAAAAACGCGAGAACAAGAGTGCCACGGTAAAATATCGCCAACGCTGCTCTGACAATTAATGCTGCGGGTCGAATCCATCGGTTGTATTCGTGTTGCATAATGTCCCCTCTAGTGGAACCCAAATATTTGTACAGTTAACCAGGCATGCCCACTCCAACGTAGAATTCTTTGGGGTCTGTTTACAGAGTACTTTACGCGGCACTGTACCCCATACATAATATGTGCACTCGAAAAATGTCAACCGATATTTTTCTCGACCGACCTCGACCCAAAGGACTTAGTTAAACTGAAACCTGCATCCTTTGTATGACTTTAGAATGTCTCGTTTTAACCCGATAGAAAACCGAGACGGTGAGACACACCGTGCTCCTCCTATCCTTTTAAAGCACAATAGTCGGGTCGGCCTATAGTTAGAGCTTCCATTCATTGCCACCGAAGCAAAAGGACAATAAGGCAGAAGAGGACAATCCCAACTTACTTCATAAAATTTAATTGCGAATTCACAAGGATTTGATGCTGGATTTCTATTATTTCTTGTTTACCCGTTTTACCTCGTCTTGTCGCTTTCATTCATTTTTGATTTAGGAAAACTCAAGACAGTAAAATCAACAACCGTGTACTCGTAAATATAATCCGGCAATAAAACAGTGGAAGATAAACCGCGGGAGCACCATCAATAACATTTATATACATACATATTTTCTGTTATAAACGTAGCAAATTATAACCTACGTTAGATCATGCATGATTTCGTAAATATTTCAAACCGTTAAAGTAGGTGATTTGTGACGTAGTAATAACCTGTGACAATAACATCAATACAGGACACGTCATTCTAATAAATTTATTAAAGCGATTCATTTACTATTTCAAAGACTTCATCGCTAAAATTTACACAAAGAAAAAGTTATATTTTTTTTAATGTAGCTCCTACTATTGTTTAAAATACACAAAAAAGGGCAAACGTTTCAAAATATTCATTTTAATTAAAACTGTTTACGTTGCCTCAACAGAAGTTTTTTTTAACATTTTTTAAGTTAAGATTTTTCAAGTAAATTCAGCGGATGTAATTTAATTTCAACTGATTTTAAAAGTTGGTTTATGATGTTTGCATTCTACTTTGTGTGATTCTACTTTTTTCTTGGCAAACAACAATGATAACGTGCTCAACTACCACTCTTCACGATAACTTATGGAAAACTGAGTTCAATCAAGTATGAAGTCATGAATGATGAAAGTTTAAAGTTAGTTCCATGCCAGTAGTTGGAGAATATAACTAGTTGTTCGAAAAGTGCTATAAACTCGTAGTTTAACAACTAGTTCGTGGATTCTAGTCTGTGCACAAAATTTAAATTGCCTGCCAATTATTTACATAATGTAGACCAATAAATTTTGTGCTTAACCTCAGGTATAATTCCTTTGTTGGCAATATCTGTGATATGCTTGCAAACATCACGTCTTTGAAATGTATTTTCATGTACTCTGTATTCAGTTTTCGTTAAAGCATTCGATTTAAATTTCAGTATGGGAAAATTCTAGTCTTTGCTTATTATAATTTTTATTACGGGTTTATCAATTACTGTCACGTACGAATATAAATCGAACATTACGTATTCTCGTATTTTTTTACAAAAAATTTCTAAACCACTCTGTTTACAATCCTGAAGAAACTAAATAAGTTATGTCGGTAAGTAAAAAAAATATGGTTGGTAGACGCTTCTGTTTCATTAAAAATGTAAGTTCTTTTATTGCAAGACTACATTTAGTAAGTTTTCGTGATGGATTTTATTTATTTGTACACTAGCGTTTGTTGCTTATCAAACAAAACATCAATGTTTGATTTGGTGTAAATTTAACTTTGTTCAGTAGCGTACGTGACGAATCTGATTTATTTATAACTATAAATAAATTATACAATCAAACAAGAATCTTAAAATCGCTGTAGATGTATCGGTTAAGTGCGTTGATCCTGGATCAATAAAATTACCGTTGTAATGTAAATTTGCCACTTGTTTTCTTAACATTAAGCTGAGTGAAGTGTTTGGAATGAATAAAGTAGTTGTTATTGCAAAGGCAGTGTGTAATTCATAATATTGATTATATGTATTTCCACGCTTATGTTTATTCAACATCAATTATACTCTCGGAAAAATCACGATTAAAATTAGTCGATAATAATATCAATGCATAGTACACGTAACGATAGAAGTCTGAATGCCGGTCGTTTCCGGGTCATTGATGTGTATATAAGAATAACAATATCTCAATTCGGCTTAATGTCGTCTTAAACCTAAGAAAAATTACATAAAGGAAATATAATAAAAAATATTAAAATATGTGCTAATTGAAAGAAAAAAGAATTTTACTTTTTTTGTGAAAATTATTAATGAAAGGTCAGCCCGAAATAGATTTATTGAGCTGAATAATTTTACACAATTATAGGACAAAAATCTCTAAAATATGGAAGTTTTTTGCCAGCGATATTCGGAGAGTCTGCTACGCTGTTCAATATGATGCATACTTCTCGAATGAAATATTTCTGTTATGTATGCTTATATATAGTTACTTGCGACAAGATTACAAGATCGTAAATTAAGTGCTTGGTCTTCTCCGTTCGGGTGGTCGATATTAAAATTACCCCCTATGATGTATCGCTGCGACATCTTTAAGAACCCTTAAATCGGCCGTAAAAACCTCTTATCTACTTTTTAGTAGGACAAATTTCGTCTTTGAAACGCAAGTACCCTTTAAAATTATTAAAGTTCGCCTGATGGAGATTAATTCTCTAGGGCAACAGACATCCAATTTGGGTTTGTATAGGGTGCGAAAATGAGTAACTCCCCCTGGTCGTTCGCGCAGACAAATACGCACCGACGGCGCTAAAAAAGAGGTGAATAATTGTAATTTCGTGAATTCGAAAACGTTCCGAAAACAATAGCGAACCCCCTGCGATCCCTAAATAATAATTACCCCGCTCGAACGGCTGCGAAACATCTGCAAAAGCTAAACGAATCGCATTCGAGTAAACAAGGGTTAAGCAAATATATATGGAAACACTCACCTGCGGCTGAACGTCCGCTACGCCCACAGAGGATGCGGCATCGTGCGTCCGTCTCTCGGCAGGCTGGCGGGGTGGTGGAGGAACGGCGGCAACTTCCCCGGCGGCGGCGGCGGCGGCAGCACCGGGCTGCGGGACCGCTCTATGTGCGAGGGCGCCGCCGTGGCGTAGATGTTGGCGGACCTCTGGTGCACGCAAGGGCGGCGGGCGTCGGGCATGGCGAACTGCAGCTTCTGCCAGAACTGGCGGTCGCCCCACTCGACGACGGTGTTGGTCTTGAGGTAGAGCCGCAGGTCGGGGTCGAGGTCGCGCTGCGGCAGTTCGCCGCTCACCACGAAGATGAGGCGGCGGCGCCGGTCCTTGAGCACCTCGTGCAGGGCGGACTTGAACTCGAACCGGCACCACTCGTTGTGGAGGAAGTTCTTGGAGAGGACGATGATGGTGCGGCGGGACGACTCCACGGCCTCGATGATGGTGTCGGCGACGTAAGCGGACACGTTGAAGTCCCGGTAGTGCAAGCACAGCCGGTACCCCGGGTCGCCGGACTCGAGCCCCGGCGCCAGGACCTGACTGACGAACGCCTCGTCCTTCACGCTGTAGCTCACGTAGGCGTCGAAGAGGCGGTCCTTGTCCTGCTGCTCCTCGAACGCGGTGGTTTTGTAGCACATTCGCAGGCCGCACCGGGAGTAGATCCACACTCGTAATTCCCGGCGGTAGTAGAAGGCCCCGCAGACGATGACGACGCTGGCGAGGAAGACGCACATCGTCACGAGCAGCAAGGGCAGGTAGTCGTTCATGACTTGGGTTTCGACGATGGCGCGGGTTCCGCCGGTGTAGGCGGCGCAAGCCGTCGCGTTAAAATCCGCCATGTGGGGGCCCACAGCTTTCGTTATATTATTGAACATACACACGATTTTACCCGCATCGAGGACCTTTCCATGGTTCGCCTTAAACCAGCCCTTGAACTTTTGCACGTAATGGCAGTCGCAGGACCATTGATTCTCCGCTAATCCTATTTCCACTAGATATGGATTTAGTGCAAATTGCCAAACCTCGAAAGAATTCAAACGATTCCCGTCCAAACGTAAGACTTCCAGCTGCTTTAACTCCAAGAACGTTCTATTGTCGATGTGATGAATCATATTCCCTTGCAAATACAATTCCCGCAGATTTTCCAAAGTTGCCAGCTCGAACCCCAACAGTTCCTTTATTTTATTGTTCTCTAAATGCAAAATCGTTAATCGACGCAAGCCGCTAAACGTGTGGTTGTAAACCGCTGCGATGTTCGAATTGTTCGCGTAAAGAATTTTCAAATTTTTCCTTCCGATGAACGAGTGACTGGACAGCTCTCCGAAATTATTTCCGTCCAAATACACTTCGGTCGCGTCCATCGGAATTCTGCTGGGCATCTCCGTGTAACCCACTCCGGAGCACTCGACCACGTTAGCGGACCAAGACTGATCGTGGTAACAGGTGCAGTTCGTGGGACAGGTCATCTCGCAATCGCACGCGTCGAAATCGCAACAGTGGCACAAAGCGAAACAGTGCGTTTTGTAGGTGCAAAGAAATTGCGACGACTCCGCTTCCATCAGCGGGAGATAATTCGTGTCGCGATTGTACAAGAGCTTGCAGTAAATGCTCTCCAAATCCATAACGCGAGGGTGTTGACGCAAATGGTCCAATTTATTGATGCGTTGCAGCCACTCCATAGTGCAGTCGCACTGAAAGGGATTACCCCCGATATAAAATTCCGGTAACGGTCGCTCCGGATCCACCGGAGTTAACCTCAAAGCGTTCAAATCCATGCTAACAATCTGATTCGCGTACAAATCGACTCTCGTCAAGTTTGTCTTCTTAAAGAAAGTGTGCGGTTCGACAATCGTGATGAGATTATCGTTCAAAAATAACAGTTCGATGCTGGCGGGCACGGCGGCCGCGTTTATCCTCGTCAACTTGTTAAAACTGGCGTCTAAAGTCTGCAATCGCAGTTGCATCTCTAAATTATTGCGATTGTCGAGCTCGCGGACGTTGTTTTTGTGCATGTCGAGCCACTGGAGTCCCCTCGGTATGAGCGAGTAATCGAACCGTTCGATTTGATTATCAGATATGTTCAACCACAATAAGCTCGGAATATTGGTGAACAATCCGTCGACATCCGTGAGGAGATTGTCGTCGAGACGGATCGCCTGGAGGTTGGGGCTCGACTCGAAGGAGCCTCTTTCCACCCTCTGGATTTTGTTGCGGGCGAGATTTAAAATTTGTAATGCGGGTAAATCGTTGAATGCGCGTTTACTGATGTTCTGAAGCTGATTTCCGATTAACCTCAAGCCGTACAAGTTACTCATGCCCCGAAAACCGGGCTCCTCGAGGGTAGAGATCAAGTTTTCGCCTAAATCCACCGTACGCAGTAGGCGCATATCTTTGAGCGCTAGCGGCACGGCTTTCAGTGAGTTACCGTTCAAATTCAAGTCCTGCAAACTGGAACAGTTTCTGAAAGCTTCAGGATGAATTCCCTCGAGAAGATTATTATCAAGCGCCAGCAGAGACAGAACGTACAGCCCGTTTAGCGAGTATGCGTCGAGGTACGTGATTTTATTATAGGAAATAATTAACGTGTGTAAGTTATTCATGGGAGCAAACGTGTCGGCTGGTATAGTTTCTAAGGAATTATGCTCCAAATTGAGGATCTGAAGCGTGTACAGGTCCCTAAAGAAAGCCGGTTCTAATTTCGTTATGCGATTATATGATAAGTTCAGAAGTACTAAGCGGATCAGACCGGCGAAAGTCTCAGAGTTGATCCACGAACTCGACAAAAGGTTTTTGGAAAGGTCCAACGCTAAAAGTTGTTCGAGATTCGAAAACAGTCCAGGGGCTAACACACTGATCGAGTTATTTTGAAGGTAGATTTCTTTAATCGAAGTAGAACAGTCTTTAAAAAGTTCAGACGGCAGCGCGACTACTTTATTATTGGAGAGATCGAATATCTGCAGAGCTTTGAGTCCGGCGATGGCGCGATCCGCCACCATCGAAATCTCGTTATTGTGGATATAGAGTTCCCGGAGCCGCCGGAGCGCACTGAACCCGTTCGCCGGAATCAAAACGAAATGATTAAAAGACGTGTCAAGTACCTGTATGTCTAAACTGCAAGGATGTGCGAACGTGCGTGCTGTTTCGGCACGATGCGGCTGATCGTCCTCGGCGACGCTGATCAGCGGTTGCGGGAGTCCGGGGGCCTTCTCCCGGAACCCCAAATCGCTCACGTCCTGCAGCCGGTTCTCGCTCACGTTGAGACCCACCAGGTTGATCAGTGGACAGAAAATATTCTCCGGAAACGACCAAATGTTGTTACAGCTTAAATCCAGCCGCTCCAGTTGCCTCACCGGAGCGAAACTATCCTTGGCGAAGTCGAGATTCATCGCCGGCCAATCGGTGTTGTGCGTCCGGACGGTCAGATTCCGGAGGTCCCGCAGACCCAGCAAAGTGCCGGCCGGCCATCTGCCCAATTTGCAGTGCTCCAATTCGAGCTCCCTCAATTTCGTCAAATGGACGAAACTCCGGTCGTCCAAACTGCTCCGGGACATGATTTCCGCATTGCACTCGATCCGGAGGGAAGTGGTGTGCTCGGAAGGGATGACACTAAAATTGGTCGTGTCGAATTCGCTGTTGATGGTCCTCAGATTGCACGTTAAGGCCACTTCGTCTTGGCCGCCGGTCACAGCGGACTCGCGGATCCACCACTGGCAGTCGTCGGGGGCTTCGTATCGTAGGGGTTGCGAGGAGGAGTCCGTCGGAGGAGCGTCATTACCGAAAACACAACTCACTAAACACACCACGAGTAGTCCCAAAGCCATCATCGCGATTTTTCCCATTCAAAAACGGTCTTTACCTCATCGCTTGAGCGCTATGTAGATTCGAATTTCCGGGGCGAAAACAACATTTCCGCACCACGGTCGCGACGAAACTAACTCTTCGACCACCCGATTGCCAACTAACTCGCGCCCCACTTTCCACACAACCGCATAGTTCACCCTCTGGCCGACAATCGTAAACAATGATAATAACGTTAACACAAACGTGTGAATAGACAGTTCCGGTATCGACTCGCTCAAGGGATGAAGAAGCAATAGTGCGATTTGGGTGTCGTCATCAGAGTCATCATCGTGTCGTGTCGACTTATAAATCTGGTATGTTCACGCCCGGAATGTGAACATACTACCACTACCACCTCGCTCCGAAGACGGTGATAGACTAAACTCCGGATGCTGGAACGTGTGTGAGAAGAGCATTCGTTCCATGAGCTTGTGGGGATCCGAGGGTATGCGAAGCTCCGCGGGATCAAACGAGCCTGGCGTCTGCGCCCCGCCTTTAAAAGCGCCGCTCGTAAAAGAAATTGTGCGCCCTATAGACCCCGTTGAATTTATCCTCTCGGAAAAGAATTCCTCGGCAAGTTATTCAAGATATTGAATATGTTAAATCTAGCGGACAATTGCCATCAATAATGTACAACACCGCGCTTATAGGCCGGCGTTACATGAAACTAGCGGCGCCGATAAACGATTCCTGGACGATTAAGCGAATCCTGAACGACGAGTAAACATGATTATGTAATAAGTTGGCATTAAACTAATGGTATTGAGATTACGAGATTACCATTTATCAGGAAATTTAATTCAAGTAACACGGAGCAAGTCGGCGTTTTATTACGAATTTATCACTATATCGAATTCTGTTTTAAATTTATTTATTACGCGCATTTCTTTCATTAATCGTTTTCGTTACATCAAGAGCAAAGTCAATGATTTCTGTATAACAATAAACAAAATTTCTGACATGTCTACGTTAAATGCCACCTTGAAAAATAATTTCAATAATTTGAAATAATTCGTCCTCGTTTACATTTTATAACCATTGGAATAAGTTTAACAGCAAATATTATAATTTAATCGTATATTTTATGGGCACAAATAACACAAAGTCAAAATATTTAGTTTTGTGTACAGTATTTTTTAGCAGCTGTTTATTTATAACGCAAATTGTATACAAAAAAGTAATTACTTTTCGAAAGAGATTAACTGATATGCAGCATTTTCAAATGCAGTTGCAATCGTTCGAATGTGAATCAGCGACAAATTATAAACTGAAACGAAATAATAGGTAATAAATTTTATTTTTAAATGTGAATAAAACCAGATGAATGAATACGTAAGTGTACAAGGTTTTATTTTTAGAATTAATTAAACGGAAACTTAGAATAACTGTATTTATCGTAAAAATTAATCTCGAAAAATCAGCATGTGGTTTTTCGAATTTTTTTTTAAGTCAACGTAGTAACAGCAGCGACTGGCAAATTTTATAAAATATCATTTCAGTTAATATTTTGTGACAACGCAATGCAGTGGATTAATATTATATAAACATAGTAAATATTTCACATTTTCAAATACGGTAAATTAAATTCCTTTTCCTAGGTCATTCACCATATCCAGCTGCATTTAGTCTGCACAATGTCTGAAAAACTTCTGCGTTGTGTTTCATTTTTACTTCCAAATTATATATTATAAATTACCAAGAGTCTAGATAAACTAAATAAATGAAACACTCTTTAGAGATTTTTAAGTAGGATAATACCAAAACGGTTAGATAAAAAGAATCTCACGGCAGCTAAATGGTCGATAAGACGACTGAAAGTGGAAAATGCATCCTGCTTCATGAAAAAAAAATGTATTCAAGATATATCAGGGTTCATCAAACACAGCATATTCTCCACACAATGATTCTAACAATGAAATTAAACAGTAAAAATTAAAATTTGGAAAAGATTTGTTTGTAAATTTATGGATTCTCGAAAAAAAATAAAAACTATGCGTAACATTATTACAAATAAAATGATAATTAAGATAACAAAAATCCATTATTATTAAACAATAAAGTTACCTTATTTCTTTAAAATTGGTGAGAGCCCTATTTCAACGATATAGATTTAAAAAGTATAATTACTGACGCCAACTACTAAGACAGTAATAATAATAGTTTCCTCGAAAATTAATAACTAAATTTAATAAAACAAAATAAAGTTATTATATGTTTCCGACAAAGTTTTTAGAAATAATGCATACCATTCATATATCAAAATAATTTTCCGTAAATATGAACCTTTAAAAATATATATGTTTTTATTATTTAACAATGAAATTAAACAGTAAAAATTAAAATTTAAAATTCAGACATTTGGAAAAGATTTGTTTGTAAATTTATGGATTCTTGAAAAAAAATAAAAACTATGCGTAACATTATTACAAATAAAATGATAATTAAGATAACAAAAATCCATTATTATTAAACAATAAAGTTACCTTATTTCTTTAAAATTGGTGAGAGCCCTATTTCAACGATATAGATTTAAAAAGTATAATTACTGACGCCAACTACTAAGACAGTAATAATAATAGTTTCCTCGAAAATTAATAACTAAATTTAATAAAACAAAATAAAGTTATTATATGTTTCCGACAAAGTTTTTAGAAATAATGCATACCATTCATATATCAAAATAATTTTCCGTAAATATGAACCTTTAAAAATATATATTTTTTTATTATTTAGCAAAAGTGGGGGTTACTTTGCCTTTGCATATACTTCCGGTTAAGCTATCAAAATTCTCAACCCGCTTCCTTTTAAGTGTCAACGTTTTAAGATTAAAAGTGCGTTTTAGAGTGAAGGATCAAACTTATATAAAATTTTACGGTTTATTAAGAAACAGAATTTTTGACACCGGTAGCAACTTTTTTTTCCATTAAAACTTAAATGTAGTGTCTTGTCTAAAAGGAACATGAGTGTTCTACAATTTTCACGAAAACTGGAAGCAGCTGCGAAAAAACTTCAAGACATACAAAGAACAAGAAGAAAAGAAAGAATGGAAGGCCGAATTGTAACTGAAAATGGCAATGTAAAATTTTTCGATTTTGCTGGGAATCTTTCATTAGAATGTCATTCTCAACAACCAACTTGAAAAGTTACATTTCCTGTTAGGGATTTTTGTACATGTCCCCGGTGAATATATTCAATATTATGGTTGTATATATAACGTAATAACCTTTGAGGTATCAGACAAACACCTTGCAAAAAAAAACAGTTTTGAAATTGAAGTTATTGGAACAAGTAAACATCATTAAAGCAAAAGTAAAACCTCCCAAAAAACCAAAGGCACCGACATACCAACTAAGAATTACCTACATTCATTGTTATCATATTGAATAAAATTATTTTCTACTATACTGTGTTATTACTTTTGTACGTGTTTTATTTTACTTTTATTTTTTTACGTTTATAAATTTAATTTTTTTTATCAAGTGGAAATGACAAATATCTAAGTACCTATTGTATACCTATCATTGGAATCTAATAATAAAAAGAATGTAAGCGTTCTCCTTCAAGGTAAAAACATTGGCGTTTACAGAATTACAACATCTCTATCCCTTCTCAAGATGTATGGCCGCGCAATTTTAACAAGGTTATATTTTTTAAATATTGTAGTTTTCAAAAATCGATATTTTAGTTTTTTTCAAATAGAACATCTTGTATGTCAGACTGCGTCAGACACTGCTTTCTATTCACTTTTTTTCTGTTAAGTATATTCAACAAAAATAACCCTATAGCAATTTTTTTCTGTGAATACTTCAATTGATAAAAAAACCAAAATGTTGGAATAACTTGGAAACATCGCATTACAATTTAAAAAATAGATTACGGTCATAAATACTAAGAAAGCAATCAGATTATGTAAAAATAAATAGAATGTTCTATTTAAAAAAATCAAGTTGTAGGTATGTTATGTCTCAAAAGCAGAACACTTTGTATAAGTGAAAATAATTTAGTGTATGATCCTCAGACAACCGTAGTTTTTTGTCTTTGAGAACAACGAGCTTATAGTGATTCAGCCTGTATATTGCTACACTCCATGGAATTTCATTTAAAATTGATTTTTTTACATAAGATCATTTTATAAATTTTGTATCAATGAAAAATCAAGTAATATTATTATACTCAGAATTTAATTATCTTTAGAAACACCGTATAAGAATAACAGAGTAAGTAGTTTTGAAAAATATCTAAATGAGTGTCGTCACGTCTATAACATAGATGTATCACATTTACATACATTATGTAACAGGTGGTCAAGAAGTTTTGAGATTAGAGTTGGCCTTAGAAATATTTGTAATGTACTCCATTTGATTAAACTGCAAATGTCAAAAATTGAGATTATTGAAATACAAATGCGGTAAATAAACTTTTACAGTTTAGTCAAAGACATGACAAATATTTCTATGACCAATCTGAAAACTTTTTGATCACCCTTTACTAGAGTTTGTAATAAAGAGACTCGTTTAGCTTTTATGAAAAACGAGAAAACTGCAAAAAATAGTGACCGATTATTTTCAGTCCCAATAGACTCATTTCTCTTTTTTTTTATAAGTTGAACTCTGTGAAGTCCATAAAAAACTGAACGAGTTATTCTTGTGAAAGAATTATCGATGCAAAAGCTTGTGCTTTGCCTCGAGAAATAATGTATATTTAATATAAGTTGTTTGATATATTTTTAGCCTATTTTTGAAGCATTGCATTATTTTTTGTAGTAGAATATTCAAAAAGAGAAAAAGTGTCTCCATATCATTCAATCATTTATAGACGTCTATACTAGTTATTATTATTATTATTATTAAAAATATTCTACAGGACGAACCCAATTACAGATGATTTACGGACTGGCTATCTAACCAAATGTAGCATATTCTTGTGATTATCGTTTATATAGACGGTGATTCACTCTCCTCGATAGCTCATTAGATAAGTACATAAATGTCGAAGACTAAAACTTCTTAAACAGTAGGTGTATATGCGAAAACTATTTTTTCTTTCGATGTGTGTGTCTAAAAAAACAGGAAAATCACAAAAACTATCAACTTTAAACATCGAAAATAAAAAAATAAAGATTAAAAAACACAGTAAGATTCAGTAACAAAATACAGAATGTTCTGTATGAAAAAACTGAGATATGACTCTTCGACTATTATATATAATATTTTAGAATTTTTTACTGAAATTATTTATTTATTTATCTATGCATAAAATAAAGCTTAAGAAGAGACCAATCATGCAAAAATATGTAGAACATTCTACTAAATTGTTCGTGTGCCGCAAAAACAGAACACTCTCTATACCTTAAAATAATTTCAATGTATTCGTAGAAGTTTGG